AGAAGCCCAGGCAAAGACAGATATAGTGTGATGTCTTTATGGCTAAGCTATGGCTGTGTAAGCTCTGCAGTGTAGTAAATCTCTATCCTATCCTCTGAGTGCTTGGGGGATTTTCCCCATCCTTGTATACTATGTCCTTGTGACTAGTCCTGCTCCATGAACATCCAATGGAGTGAGTTGAAAAGCTCTAAGATTAACAATGAAGAGTTGGTGGTGCTGCATTTGGAGACCTGCCTTAGACTCAAGGGCCAGTTTTGGATTTTTTTTTAATTATATCTAAATTGTAAAAAATATCTCAATGACTGAAATTATGTTCCAATTGAACTCAGCTAGCTTTACTTCTGAGCATGTATAAGACTGAACAGTTCAACAATGGTTGTGATGATAAGAAAAGTATCTTTATCAATGTTTATAGTAGCACATATGTGAACAAAGCGCAACCATATGTGATATAAAAGTAACTAATCTGAGATGTGGCAAACATTTTCTTTGAGTATATTTTATTTCACAAAATAGTGACAGGGCAGTCTAAAGAGAATGCTACATTAACAGATGTCAAGACCAATTAGTGCAGTAGGAACCAATCTGATGTGGTCACCGGGACCAGAGGTTTAGTCTTCCAAGCTTTCAGATTTCTGCTGGAGCCCACCCTCCAGAATGTGTTTGGCGAGAGAGAAGTTCCCTGAGGATGAGTTCCAGCATGAGTCCAAAGGCTCAGAAGACTAAACCTCTGGTCTCAGTGAGCAACCCAGATTGGATCTGTAATATTATCCTGGGACACATATATTTGCCTTCATTTGTCAGTGCAGCAGGAAACTAAAAGGAAAAAGGGTGTTTTGGGTCATTTATAATTTCTGGTGCAGTAAAGCATTGTCCCCCCAACCTGATGGCCTTCAAACATGTTGAATTATAATTTCTCTCATTCCCACCTTGGAAAAGTTATACTGAATGAGAAGAGATAGGGATTATAGTCTACAATCTGCAATATCCCAAACTGAGAAAATCTATCCTAAAATTGATGCTATCCATTTGCAGGCTATCGGTCAGTTAGGAAATCCTGTTTTTTCAAAGTTGTGGAAAATTTTAAAACAACTGTTTGATATACTCTTCAATATGCACATTATTTAAAGGGTAAGCACTGAATTGTATATTCATTGCTTACCCTTTAAATAATGTGCATTGTGTGCATATTGAAGAGTATTGTATATTCAGTGTAATGATTAACCCACCGGTATCCATGATTCAGCTACATCCAAAATGAGGGATTGAGGAAACCTGTCTGGCAGAATTGAATGAAGTTCCCTCAGGAACTTCCAGGTAGAGTAGCCGGAGGCAAAATGTGTGTCCAAAATGTTATGCCTCATTCCTCACAAGCAGCTGTATTTCTCATTTGCTCTGGTGGACTCCCAAATCTCTGACTGTACATTCCCAGGGAGTTTACACTTCCTCAAATTACAGGACGTACCACTGACCCTGAAAAACAACTCATTCTCCAGATGCCACCATACCAAGCCAGAACATGCCCACGCTAATTTCCTTTGCAATAATGCCCTCTACCAACTGTTGTCTCTCTTGGGTATGAACTGAAGGGGAATTAAAAGGCATGAATTGTCCTCTGCTGGTGAAAATTGGAAATTGGTCTGAAGGCCTTTATTTTAGCATTTGCAGCTTGGAATGTGATGTTTCCTCCTAAGCAACCTTTTGCCTTTCATGATAGTGGCGTTCTCTTTTTAAGACATGGGTTAATTCAAAACCAACCCAAATTAGAAGCTCCTAAACTTTTCAACTGATGGCAAACTTCTAGGCAAGTATCCAAAGGATGTCCCCAGCTGCTTGAATATTTCATGAGAATTATGCTTGTGTTCCTTAGTCAGGAGACAACTTTTAATAGGAAAATAACCTGCCTTGTGAGGCATCTCCTACTAGGTCAAAGCCTCAGGCAGCCACTGAGTAATGATTCAAGAAAACTTCAGTTATCATTGTGTCTCTCCACTGGGATCCAGCAAAAGATTAATCAATTAAAGGTGACAATTAGCAATAGGAAAAATGCTATAGAAGTTTGAGAAAAATCAGTGAAGTTATTCTGAATGTACTGGATTTAGGAATTATACAATAGGTACATTAATGTGCCTAAATGACCTTGGACCAATTACTCTCTCAGCCCAAACTTCACAAGGTTATTGTTGTGGGAAAAATATGAGGAGAAAAAGACATTAAGGTATGTTTGTTGCCTTGAGTTATTTATAAATAATAAAGAGATAAAAATCTAATAAATAAAATAAAATTGATGCTTAATATGTTTCCTGTTTCCTCCTTCCCTTGAAGCAAAATGTCATGAATTTCAGTCCGAAGTTCTTCTTTATCTTCACTGTATAACTGAATATCAGATCATATCTATCTGATAATTTCAGTGGGTACCTATTCCTTTCAAGATGTAATTTTGTGAGTGATCTGAAACTCATCATCTACTTTTGCTAATTGAATAGAGGACTTCTTTCTTTTCTTGCAGTTATAATCAATTTTGTCTGTGGAGATTCTTACTCACCCAAGTCATGGTTGTCCCAAAGGTGCTTTTTCAAGATGCAACTGGACTTTCTGGTTTTTCTTTGAAGATGTTTCACTTCTCCTCCAGGAGAAGCAAAAAACCAGAAAATCAAGTTGCCTCTTGAAAAAGCACCTTTGGGTATAATCAATTTTATTTCTTTGGTATCCATCCAGTGATGGCCATTTGTCTGCCCATCTTTTAGGTTGTTGAAAGATACTATTTGCTATCTAAATTTCATCAGAACTTTGTTAAATAGTCTAGCTTCATTTGGGCAGCAAAGCCAAACTTACCCATTGTTCCAGATTTTATTTTAGTTTCACTTTAAATACCCTTCTCTTCCATAATCAACATAACATCTTTTGTGATGCTTGTGGGGGAAATTTTGGATATGGGATAGACTTAGAAAAATGGCAGAAATTATGGTCTTGAAACTATAAAATGACTATGTTAACAGCATATAAAGATAATTTGTATAAGATGTTTTACAGGCAGCATTTACCCTGGCAAGAATAGCAAGGATGTTTAAGAATAAATTGGAGAAATTTTGGAAATGTCATCAGATACCTGGATCATACTATCACATGTGGTAGACATGTGCGGAAGCCAAGAGATACTGGACTAAAATTCATACATGACTGGAAAAAATGACAAAACAGCATATAGACTTGAAACCAGAGATATTTTTATTGGGTATCTTACCTGAAGGATACAGTAAAGAATTGACATATTTGATTATAAATGTTTTAACAGCAGCTAGAATTGTATTTGCTAAAAATTGGAAAAGTGAAAAAATTCCGAAGAGGAAGTGATTAAGAAAATAATGGAATGTGCAAAAATGAGTAAATTGACATTAGAAATTAGAGAGCAAGAAGATAAACAATATTATAAAATATGGGATTCTTTTTATCAATGGCTGGATAAGAAAATAGGGAAATAAAATACATTACAATAAAAATACTGATAAAAGCTGATACTTTTATGTTTTGTTGTTGTGTTTTGTATGTTAAAAAACAATAAAAAATTTTATAAAAAAAAAATACAATAGTAAAGATAAGACAATTTAATATATATTATTGAATATAATGGTTATAATGGAATGTATATATAGATTTTGTAAAAGTTGAGTTTTGCTCAAAAAGGATGACGTGACTGTATAATTATAGTCTAATAAGGAGATAATATAGTATGCATAGCTGATTTATATAATATGAAGTTTAATCTAAACTAGAAGAGATAGACTGTTGATATTGTGCACAAGAGATATGTACCAACCGACACACTGTATATAATGGAAAGATGGTTTTATTTGATGTTTTATGTTTGTATTTGTTAGTTTGTTGTCAAAATAAATAAAAAATATGGAGAAAAACCATCTGTTGTGGTGTTGTGTTGGCAAGGTGTGACAAGTTGCATAGAGCTTTCTTGATTTCTGCTTCCTCTGCAGCTATAGTTAGAGCATGGATAAAATAGAAAACATTCTGGTTGTACATCAGTTGCCCCTATTCCTGGATTAGGATGGCTTGCTCTCAGTCAAGTCATGCCCTCCTGAGCACAAGGCTGGATTATTGTAATGAATTCGACATGGGGCTGCCCTTGAAGATACACACATAGAATGCAGTGGTGTGGGATATTAATGGTGCTACTTATTCAGCACATCTCTGCTCCACATTGGCTTCAACTGTGCTTCCAGGTGCAATTCAATGGTAGCCACCTTTAAGTCTTTCACAGCTTGGGACCAAGTTATTTATGGGATCATCTCTTCCTGGTTGTTCCTAGCTGTCCTAAATTAGGACAGCTGTCACATCCATCTGGCAGGAGGAGAACTGGTTGATGGTCAGCTGGCAGGGTCCAGAAGGAAAGTCTTTCCTGCTGTGGTGCCTACCTTTTGGAGTATCGTATCTCTGAGATCAGGTTAGTACCAAAAGTGCTCGCCTTTCTCAAGGCCTTGAAAACCAAGGACCCCACGATTCAACCCTGAACTAGAAATATTCCCCTTTATTGGGATCACGAAATTGCCCGAATCGAGCTCGGTTCAAAGGGAAGGCGTGTTACCCCTCTGATCAGCCCGCTCGGTATCAAAGCGACGCAAGTGGCTTTCCGACAAGTCTTATTCCCACTGCAACCTCCTCGCGTCCGATTCCCTCCAGGACTACAGCTCCCATTATCCTACTCCATGCACTGATCAAGGAGGATTAAAGGCAAAAGCTAGCCAGCTCCAGGAGGAAAAGACCCCGTGACCTGCGGGCGGCAACTAGCGCTTGACACCCGGGCACGCGAGAGGAGAACCGCGCCCCTGAAGACTGGGGCTCGCGTGGGAGGGAGCGGGGGGCGGGGGCGCTGAAAAAGAGCGGAATGAAAAGCGGATTCGGAGCAGGAACCGCCAGCCGTGACGCGCCATTGGCGTAACTTCGAAACTTCCCTTGACCCGGAAGTGGAAAGTGGAGGGCGGCGTTTCGCGAGGCGGACGGAAGGCGGAAGCGGAGGCTTGCCCGAGAGGGAGTGAGGGGGCAGTCAGATGGAGGAAGAGGAGTGGCGGCGGAACCCCCCTTTTTGTTGCTAGGTAACAGGAGCAGGTAACGTTCCCCTCTCGGCTTCTTCCCGGTGGCTCTTGCGCCCCTGGGTTGGGAGAGCCCCATTCACCCTCCCTCTTCGCCGCCGCCGCCGCCGCTTTCCACTTGTTTCCTTTCCCCACTTCCAGCCCTGAAAGTGGATCTCGGGTGGCGGGCTGAGAAAGAAACGACCTTCCAGCCAGGGGCAAGTAGTCCGTTGTATTTGAGGTGTTTTTCACTCTCTCGGGTTGTCTTTGCAGGATGGCTACAAGATGGCTATAACTTAACCTTCATCGAAGCCCCAGTAATTCCGGAGCACGAAAACACCATGGAACACCTCAGGCCTGGGACTGGAGCTTGGGGTAATCCCCAGCTAGAGTTTCCTGATTTGGGCAAGACTCTTCTGAGCCCTTGCAGCCCTTGTGATGCAGGATGCAGGAAGCAAAATGTTCACTCCAAAAAAGTATTGCTGTTGCAAAGCATCTCCTGGCTAAGAAGAGCGCTTGAGTCTTCGGAGGGCTGAGGTTTTAAGTCAGGAGAAAGGTGCGATGGAGACAAAAATGCTTTGGAATGGCAGTTGCGATCGCGAGAATGGCAGCTTGCACTTTACTGACTATAAAAGTCCCAGTAATGAAACTGGCTCCTGTAACTGTCCGAGAGAGATGTCGGATCTCTCTGCAGCTTATTCGGAGGAAGGGAATGACTTATGTGGCTTCAGTTGTCAGCACTGGCATTCAGGATTCAAGGAGAAGGACCCGTCTACGCTGCTGTTAGGCCAAGAAGCAGAGGTTGAAGATGGCCTGGCTACAAAAATCAAGGAAGAAATCCCTGATTGCACTCGGGCTCCTGGTGGAAGGAAAATTGCCCGGCAACAAAGACAACGCTCTGCTCCTAAAGACAAAGGAGATGGTCACTTTCTACCCTCTGGGGGGAAACACAGACAGACTAGGAAGAGGAGTGATGGTGGGCATCATCACGTCCAAGCTGAGTTGCTGAAGCACCTGGAAAGTCTGGCCTCGTTCTGCGTTTCCTGTTTCAGACTGTTCATCGGTGTAATTGTACAGGTCACCCTCCGGTGTGGTGAGGGGGTGGAAGCTGGTGGGAAGATGCTGTACTCTTGCTGCTGCTTCAGCCTGCATGATTTAAACACCATTCAAACTGAAATGCAGGCTTGGATCCAGCGTGGAAGGATAGGGTGTCGAAAATTGACCCGACAACTAGCCTCATGGTTGTCGCTAACTTACCGCCTGCTTAAGATGCTGTGTGCTATTCTCTTTCTGGTGCTTATGCTTCTCCTGGGCAGTATACGACTCTGCTGGAAGGTTTCCAAATCAGTCCTACTCAATATTCTGAGTAGAATGACTCATACTAGCTACGGAGCCTGGCTTCTTGCATCTATTGATTTTCCTCAAATTGGGGTCCTCGTCAGAGAATGCAGGATTTGCAAATGGATGGCAAGTCTGCTGCTTAAGTGGCATGCTGTCCTTTGGATGCCCAAAGGATTAAGGACCACCCAGTCAGGGAGCACTGCTCAGAATGACTCCCCTGGTGGATCTGGACCATTCCAGCCTAGCGAAGAGGTGGCACGTTTGCTAGCTATGGCCCAAACCCCTGAAGAAGAGCTCAATCCTTTTCAGGTATTGGGCTTAGATGCAACAGCTTCCGATGTTGAATTGAAGAGAGCCTATCGGCACTTGGCAGTACTGGTGAGCATGTCTTTTGAACCAAACAGGTTGACTGGTGATTGGAAGTATGTGTGTTTTTGATGAGAGAGCCTCTGTTTAAAAAAGGTGGCATTCCTTCCCCCCAACCCCTCCTTGTATTACCGTAGCAAATAATTGTGACAAGAATTCAGCTCTTCCTCCTCCAAAGATTGAGAATATTGGTGGGGATGGTTAAAGACAATAGTAGGAGAGAACTACTCTCTTGTCTGGTTGACATAGTCCAACATTTTCAGGGTGGGGGGAAGAGATGTGGAATATCATGCAGTCTTTCATAGTACAATTGATTAACCTTCACTTATCACTTGCATATTGACTTACTGTATACTACTTGAGGGAACACAGACTTGTTAATTTCAACAGGTAAAAGAATCCACAAATACAATTATCTGTAGCAGCAAGGTTGATCAAGATAACTGACAAATAGTTTTTCTCCTTGTTTGCCTTCTTGGCTATTAAGGGAACAGGATGTGTGGAAACTTGGTTCAACTTATCTTCCTGTCTGGAGATGCTGAGGATTGCAGTTCATTTCTTAGCTTGTAAAATTCCACCCTGAATCTTCAAGGTGTATTGAATGAAAATCCCATTTTTGTTTTTCTCCATCTTTCCCGGAATGTGGAAAGAGAAGGATAAATGAGCTGCACCAAGGAGGATTGCAGACTCTGCTTCTGGAATTTGCTAATCTCTCCCTACTGAAAAGCTGCTTTTGCCAAAAAAAAGAAAAGCTGTCATTTTTTGTTGCTGGTTGTTGCAAGGGAAGAGCTCAATTGACAAAGAACCTTTCTACTTGAACTTCTGAGTAGAAATGTCCCTGTACAAGGAATCTGTAAATGAAGCCTACTTGCTTTATTTTGTGGCCTGTATGTCACATGAGAGTGAAAGTGCCAGCTTTACTTTCTAGGATGACAGTAAGGATTATTGGCAATACATTGCGTATATTTGCCTCAGATGTTTTTAAAAGGGCGTGTCTAACTTCTTTGGGGGTTTGGGATGGGGTGTTACACAGGTTCACCCAGACAAGAATGAGCACCCTCAGGCAGAGGAGGCATTCAAGGTACTGCGAGCAGCCTGGGATATTGTCAGCAATCCAGAGAAGAGGAAAGAATATGAAATGTGAGTCAGCTGAAACCTATTTGAGCTTCTTTCACTCCTAGTCAGAACCATATAGCTATATGAAGTTTGATTTGCGGACCCGGGATAATGTGAGGAGGCTAGTTTTCAAAGAGATTCCTAAATTTAAGGGGACAGAATAAATTTAAAAACTTGAGCATCAGTGTTGTCAGGTAGCAACACTTATTGAAAGTACTGGATGTTTTTCATTACTTCCCTGAGGGTTTTTTTGTCTTCAATGGAAAGTCTTCCTGTGAAATTTAATCGAGCTTGAGTCTCTTGGCTCTGTTTATTATCTTTATTATTATTCAAGAACAACAATAAAATTGACTAGGGGACATGAGGATTGGACAAGAGTTGCTTGTCCTGTTCTCTAGTCCTTGTTTCTACATTTGAACTCATTTCAATTTGATGTAAAAACAAGATTTTGGTAATGGCTCTTCCCATATCCCACCCCTAGAAAAATCTGATCATTCCCTTGCTTGTATGAACAATAAGTATCTGAGCCATAGAAGTAAAAAATATTACAGAAATGATAATAAGGTACTAGAAATCATAGCATCCAAATTATCTTCTTTGGTTAAAGGCCTTGTAGGAAAGAAAACCCAGGAGATAAGAGAGCCCACAAATTTAAAGATCAGATACTAGATAATATTCTGCCCTGACTCCCAGAACTACTACATTACTTTAGTTATCAGTCTGACTTTTTCCTTTTCTTAAATACTTTCCTTGGGAGCTGATTTTTAAAACCTTTTTATTGAAGATAAAAATACAACATGAAACAGAAGTTAGAAAGCCAAGAAGGAGAAAAAGAGAAGTGCCAAGACCAAGAAAAAAAGTTTGACTTCCCACTTTCTTTAGTGCAATAGAATACAGGGGGAAAAAAATACTTAAAACTTTTGTTCTGCATTTCTCAACCTTTCAAGCCATTTCTAAAACAGCAAAATCATTCTAATCAATGCTAGCCAGAGGACCTTTGTCCCCTACAGCTTGAAGCTAATCATAAGCTGAAGTCTCCTTCAAGTTAAGCTTGATTACTTGTCAGCATAGAGACATTATGTAGTTTTCATGGTCCAAGTACAGAAGTGGTGTCCCATTGCTATAAATGGTTCCCCCCCCGCCCAATTTTCCAGTTTAGTTTTTATTCCAGGTGCTCCCTGATGGTCTCCAGACCAAGGAATAATTATGCCAAGATCAGCCTAGAACTATTTAGAAATTACTCTTGGCCATCTTTAGATCATACAAGGGTTCTGTTCAGGAACTCTTGCATAAGTCACTTTGGGGGCACATCCAAATGTGTAGTGCATGCCTGCATAAAAAAAAATCCTCTTGTTTTGGGACTCCTTGTTTGAGGTCAGGCTAATGTAAATCAGGGTTTGTGTAACCTGGGTGCTCTCTGAAATGGCTTTGATTTGATTTCAAAGCTCTGAAATAGCTTTGATTTGATTTCAAAGCTCTGAAATGGCTTTGATTTCCAATACATGTGCACACTGCTCCAACCATAGTCAAGCTTGGTGTAACTCAGAGGTGGGCAACTATGGCCCCTTTATGACTTGTGGACTTCAACTCCCCAAATTCCTGAGCTAGCATGGCTTGCTCAGGAATTCTGGGAGTTGAAGTCCACAAGTCATAAAGGGGCCATAGTTGCCCACCTCTGGTGTAACTGATGCTCCCTTTTAAATTCACTTTTTCTTTCAGAAAGCGCATGGCAGAGACAGAGCTGACGAAGTCCATGAATGATTTCCTTTCCAAGCTTCAGGATGATCTGAAGGAAGTCATGAACACAATGAAGTGTAACAAGTGCCAAGGGAAGCACAAGTAAGTGCCCAGCTATCACTATCTCTTCACTGGTGCAACAGGAGGATGTCAGCCAGGCTACATAAGCAGCAGGATCCTGACTTCGCAGAGTCTCCATTCTTTTCTTTAATTTGTGTACAGGAGAAACTACAATCATGCCTGCCTCCTTCTGAGAGTAGTGACAACACCAAAATTTCTGTTCCCTTGAAGGATAGTAGTGTGGAATATTTTTTCCTGAGCTGGCTTAAATCAGTAGTCTAGTTTTTAGTTGAGGTGTCAAAGACTCTGAAAGACTGAGAGATGGATAATCCTTGACTTACAAGTTACAATCATTTGTTGAGTGACAGTTCAAAATTACAATGGCACTAAAAAAGTGACTTGCAACTGGTTCTCACACTTACAACTGTTGCAGTATCCCCATGGTCAAGTGATTAAAGGCTTTGGAGAACACCAGAATGTTTTCTCCAAAATCTTCACATAAAAGATTCCCCTGCAAGCAAAAATCTAATATCTCGAGACTTAAACTTTCCTTTGCTTATTTTTTTTAAAAAAACTACAGGACTAGCTGGATAAGTTAATGGGCAGAAGTCTATAATATATTTATGATAGTATATATATTTGATAGCTAGACGAATATATACTGCAAGTTCAAAATTGGGAAATGCTTGATTATCAGTACCCAACTGTTATATGCAACAAGTGTTCAGTTATAACTCAGCTACTTACTAATTTTGTTGACCATAGGATTCAATTCCCATATTTTTATTTCCTACTGGTCCTGTGTCCATTTCTAAAATATTTGGTTTAGAAAAGCTTCAGTGTTTATAAATCTTTATAATCCATGCATAGATATTATTTGGAGAACTAGGGCGTTGGACTAGAAGTCCTCCAAGATCTCTTGCAACTCTGTTACTCTGTTATTTGCATTTCTCCTGAAATTAAATGCATGTGCGTGAGTGCATGTGTGTACATGCACGTGCACGCATACACTGGAAACCACGGGATGCTGTAATATAATGAACATACTTGGTATTTTCTAACCTCTGAAATTCTTTGCTGCAGGAGATTTGAGATGGATCGTGACCCATTGGAAGGCCGATACTGTGCAGAATGTAGTAAATTTCATGCAGCTGAGGAAGGTGACTTCTGGGCAGAATCCAGCATGCTGGGATTGAAGATCACATACTTTGCCATGATGGATGGGAAGGTTTATGACATCACAGGTAATTGAATTAACACTCTATGACAATGGAAAGTGGGAACACAAAGTGAAATCCAATGCGGTTCTTGTTCTTATTTTTTCTAGTAGTCTGTTGTCTGTGTGTATGTGAATACATATACTCAGAGAGCAGGGTAAGTTAGGGTAACTTCACATTTGTGCAGACTGTGAATAGTATGCATATATATTTGTATTCTTTCCAGTAATCACATCCATGTACCAAGCAATAGTGATCCAATAAAGGATTACAGAGCAATGAGAAAGGAGAATGGCATCTGTTAGGAAACCTAGCCAAACAGAAAAGTCTGCTTATACAAAAAATGTATACATTTTTTGTATAAGCAGTATACAAATATATACTGCATACACAGTGAAGCCTTAACAAGAGGCTTCTCTGGGAAGGGGAGAGAGAGATTAGGTTGATGAAGGATATCTTGACCCAATAAAAAACAGAAATACCTTGGTATGAAAACTTTCAGGCAGATGGGAGCTGGAGGGGGCAGGGGGAGGAATTACTGATCAGGAAAGAGATGTTGGGTTATAATGGCATAGCTTGATAAAAATATTAAACCTGTATGTGGCTGCTATGGAAAAGGCAAATGTGATGCTGTGGGCATCGGGAAATTAGCCAAGTAGTACCTTTGTGCCTTCATACAAATCAATGGTGCAATTACACTCAAAAGTACATTGTGCTATATTTCAACTCATGACTAGTTTTAACCAGTGAACTTGGCTTCCAAAGATGTAGCGATGGCCACCAACATGGAAGCTTCAAAGAAGTGAAGTAATAGGAGAGTATCATTGAGGAGAAAGAAAGGGGAGGACTGTGTTTACCTGGGAGATGAGAGAAGATAGTAGGGAGAGAGTAATTGCATTAAAGAGAGTGAGCAGCTAGCAGGAGAAGTGAGGTGAAGTGGAGACACTGAGGACTCTAGCTTTCGTTTCCCTATGAGCTTAATTCTACAGCTGTTTTTCTGTTTCCCAGTCCACCCAAAAATATTTTGATCCCACTAACAGCAGAACATATGCAACTGAAGTCTTTTGAGAAATAACCAAGATAGAAGTTGTTATTTAGATAGAACCCGCATTGGCATTGAAAATACTTTTAGAAAATAGTCTCTTTCAGAGGATCAGGCAAATGAATGGAAGATAAAGACTGTCAATGGCCAATGTCCTATCTGTGAACTTCTCTCTGTTAACCAATTGGCCCCTTTGGAAACAGAGGATGGAATTCAGATCTGAGCCAGAATGCTGTTCTTTTTCCCACTTAAACACCCAGAAAACCTATGCTATGAAAACAGAAGAGATTGCATTATGTTTTATTCTAAGAAGGGAATCCTATTTTTAATATCAAAACTAAAATATTAGCCCTTAAGAGTGCTATGTGAGTGATAAAACATCCTACTGCAAAAGCTGAGAAATGTCTAGGAAGAAAAATGATATTTTTAAGGACATTCCTGTCTGTTTTGTGTAGTAGATCTGGGTCAGGAACTGATAGCTGATTTTTTTCTTCTTATGTGCAGAATGGGCTGGCTGCCAGCGAGTAGGAATCTCTCCAGATACGCATCGAGTTCCTTATCACATCTCTTTTGGATCAAGAGGCTCTGGAGGACGTCAGAGGTTAGTGTGGAATTATGTTGTTGATTTCTTCTTAAGAAATGATTGGTTCTTGTTGAGAACTGAAATCTCAACAAGTTTACAGTATGTATCTCATGTAGGCTGACTCTTGTTCAGTTTGTGGAGAGATCTGCTTGAGCTGGTTTTTTTCCATTTGTACAGGCCCATGTCAACATACTTGGCCTAGTGGTCAAGGCACCAGGCTAGAAACTGGGACATCACGAATTGTAGTCCCACCTTAGTCATGAAATCTAGCTGGGTGACCTTGGACCAGTCAGTCCCTCTCAACCCAATCCACCTCATAGGGAAAGGAGAAAATAGGAGGAAGAAGAAACATTAGATATGTTTGCCACCTTGAATTGTTTATTAAATAATAAAGGTGGGGGACTTCCAGTTTGAAGGGCTTTGGCGACAGACAGAAATCCACGATCGTGCGCGGTTTCTGTCTGGGCTCGCCGCTGGAGTGCCCTGAGCTGGCTGGTTTCAGGGCTAAGCCACCCCGTAGAGGTGGTGAAGAGCGGGGAGACTGCCAGCAGGGTTGAGGAGAGCCGCATCTCTCCTCAGCTGGCCATTACTCCCTTTCCCGAAGGCGGTTGTAGCGGTGGTCAGAAATGGCCACCACAAAGGAGAACTCGACCGGAAAAGAATGTGCAGGAGGAAGATAAGAAGTGAAAGTTTTGGCTGACCAGGTTAAATTGTAAAAGCAACAACTAAGGTACCCTGGAATTTAAACTTACAAAACATAACATCGCTCCCAAAGAAGAGTTGGAAGCAGTGAAGGAAAGTGAAAAGGGAAAGGTTTGGCTTTTTTTTTTCTTCTCTCTCCTTCCCTATACTGACAACTAAGAGACTTAAATAAGAAATCGGAAAAATCCGCTTTGACATCAATAGGCAATTAAGCTGAAAATAAAACAAAATGCCAAAGGGATAATAAAGATTTCTGGACATTAAAAATTTTCATAAGCAGGAAGGGAGAGAAAAAGAATAAGGGCAGGATCTGGAAGAGGGAGGAGACTGCCTGGAATTAAAAAGAATCTACAGTAAAACTTCAACAAGACTTCTAAAAGATACATTTTAACTGAAACTTTGCAACTAAATAGTAACCCCAGGAAGAGAAAGTGAAAAAAAAAGAGCAAAAAAGAAACAGCTTGCGTGTATTTGGATTATTTGGTGATCTTTGGATTCTTGGTTATTATATTTGAATGACTAAAATCAATCGGGTGGTTGTTTAAAAATTTATACAATGGCACTACTTCTGGATGAATTGAAAATGGAACTTAAAAAGTACAAAGAAGATGCACAAGAAGGGAAGGGTTCTTTTGGCTTCGTTTTTCAATTCTTAGAAATGGAGATTTGGAACTATGTGAAACAACAAGAAACGACTGCAAAACAAGAAGACTGGGACAAAGAAGCAGGGTTCATCTTTAATGAACAAGCAATTTTATGTGGGGAAGAAAAAGGAAAGGGGAGAAAGAGAATGGAGAATTTAAGACTTAAAAAAACAACCACAGAAAAGCAAAATAATTTGAAAAATAAGTATAATACTGGAAAGCAACAGAAAAGGGGAATACAGAAGAGAGAAATAGAGGTAGAGAGACAAGGGGGTAAAAAGGGGAGAGAGAGAAGAAGAGAGGGAAGAAGGAAAGGAAAAGAAGTTACAAAGGACTGGAGCAAGATATAGAGAAACAGGACCTATTCAGAGATAATGGGTGAAAATCTAACTGAAAAAGGGATTCTGTAAAGGTACATAAGATTGTATTGTTATATTAGTAATAGAAATAACTTTAGAAAATTGGAAACAACGTATGATTAAAATGAGGGATAAAATAGTGTAATTTAGTGAAATGTTTGTGAATAAAATAAGTGAAATAAAATAAATGAGAAAATTGAATTAGGAAGGAACGGGAACATTTTAATTAGTTAATGTTTTATAAAATATAAGTGAAGTGGAGGAGAAGCTTATAATTGTTCCCATAGAAGTAAGATATTTAATTGAAAAGTAATGTTAAAGATGTTAAGACTTTAATGAATATTAATATTAATGATAGAATTAAATTGGGATGGAATATTGTTTTAATTATATACATTTATAATTTTTTCTTTTTTTAAGAATACAGTGTGTATTTTAAGAATGTACCAAGCAGAATCCGAATGGAAGTTATGTATTATATTGAATGTTACAACTTTAGGGAAAAGATATAAAGACATCATACTCCAATCAGTAACTACAGGAGAAATTTCGTTTAATGAGAAAAGATAATAGATAATTGAAATGGGACAGACAAAAAATATAAATACAATGATTTGAATTGAGATGAGATAGTTAAAATTGAGAAAATTAAAAGAGGAGAGAAGCTATGCAGAAAATGTAAAATAGTAATAAGATATGGAATAGAATATAAAAATGAGCATGAACCTGAATTTGTGTCTGTATGAAGAAATGTAACCCCGGATTATGCTGCTTTCAAAAAAGATGTTTTATTTGTATTTTTTTTCTCTTTGTGAAAACTCAAATAAAATTTACAAAAAAAATAAAAAAAAATAAAGGTGGAATATTTGAATCAATAGTCCACAATTAGCCTTGCAGTAGTAGTTGTGTTCAGCACAAACATGCAGCCTTGCACCTGATTGATTGTTAATTCTAAACTAACAAAAGCTTGTAACTTTCTTTTTCTTGGGTCTCATTTTCCTCCTTTTTTAAGAGAGTCAGAACAGGAGAATTTTCACTACAGAAGCCAGATTCATTCTTGCCTCTTTATACTTCTGCATGAGCGACCTTGATGCTTAAAGCAATAAGCTGATAAGAGAGTGAAACTCAGTTTATATAGCTTATATTCCTGGGGTTTAAAGCAGTACCCTGGAAAAAGAGTGTGGAATAGCGCTGTGTGGGGTAGAACTGTAAAGATGAGAAAAACCATGTTACTGAGAGAGAGTTGGGCGGCATGAAAATTTTCTTAAATAAAATAAATACAACTTAGTATTTAGAAAGGGCTTCCGAAAATAGATTCCTTTTCTTCCCAGGACAAATAGTTGCAAATTCTGAAGTCTGCCTTCTGCTGTGTAGTTTAGCATAAAGCCGAACATATATCTTTGCTGTAATCCAGTTCGGGATCTGATGATGTATTTGTTCTCTCCATCTGTTCTTCTTCCCCCCACCACCCCCAAATAAAGAGCTGCTTCAGACAGTAGCCCGGCTTCTGCTGCAGAACTCCAGGACTTCTTCAACCGTATCTTCCAAGGGAATCCCGGGCAGATGCCAAACGGGAACTTTTTTGGCACCCCCCAAGCCCCAGCCCCTGGGAATGCGTCGACGCCTCCTGCCTCTTCTTCAAAAGTCGACAGTAGCTTCCAGAAGGGCGATTCGAAGCAGAAACGGCGGAAAAAAGTGCGACGCCCCTTTCAGCGCTAAGGACCTGACTGAACGGGAGGGAAATCTGCCAGCAAAAGGGCTGTTTGAGACATTGAAAAAAAAAAGTATTCTTGATAAGAGATAAGCCTCCAGGCTTCTCTGGACACATTTATTATAACCCTGTAATTTCTAGCTGGAACAAAATATTCTCCTGTGCAGTCGTTAATACGGATCCTGTGATACCAAAGAACTCCTTTGGATATTTTCCTGAAAGCACTTAATGAAAAGAAGGTGTGGACAATATTGAGCCTTTAAGCATCCAGTCATATGCTTTTATAATTGTCTAGCGCTCTTTCTCGGGCGGGGCTACAGCTTCCACCAGTTCTTTTAGTTGATTGTTACTCTTGTCCAGAAAAAAATGCTGGGCCTGGAAATCTCTTTTGTTTCATTCCAAGGCTTTGAAGAAAAATTAAAAGGTAGAGGATGGCTCAGGGCCCCGGGGGGAGGTGTGGTTTGCCTGCGATAACTTTTACAGAGCGGCAGGAAAAGAGAGGCCCTATTCAGCAACCCTCTTCTTATCCCATCCTGGGTGTTCTGCCTCTAGATTAAATGGTGAGAGGAGAGCCACTCCCTGCCTGGAATTTTCTTGTGTAACATGTTAATTAATTGCTTGCCATGCAAAGGAATTCATCCGGATTAATACTTTTAGTAAAAGACCAGGGGAGACTGAGATGCACCCCAGTTACTTATTGCTCAGGATTATGCCCAGTAAGCTTCTTCTTTACGGAGACCCGAATGTTGCCCAATTCCGTTGCAAGACTACTGAGAGGAGGTGTTTTGCACTACCACGCGATTAAAGAGCTCCTGGCTCTGCAGGTGAAATGACTGTTGTGTTCCCGATGTTCTAAGGTGCTTGGTTTGCTCTTCCTGGATCCTAGCAAGTACATGCTGTCTCTCTATGCTGGCCTAAGAAGACTGTGGTCACGTCAGTTACGACATGGGTATGTTAGGCGACAATTTTAGCATGGGTGGCTAGCTCTACAATTGTTCAACCTCTTTTATAGAAGGTTACTTTTTTAAAAGTTCAAATTTGTATGTATATACATATATTTAATACAATGTGTATTATCCTTTCTATAAATACGTATCAATGCCTTGGAGAGGCTGGCCTACAGTTTCATTCTTAGCCCATGCGCTGTTGCACATTGATACACAATCATATCTATGAGGAATTTAACCTTTCAAGGTGTAATTTAGTGCTTCTTTTCTTTTACTGTGGAAACAGCTAGGTATTTGTACTGCTACCCAGTTAGTCCCAGAAACCCCCCACTGAGGGGGTGTTAGGGTGCAAAGACGATGGTTATCCCCTCCCTGCCCCAAGTACTTCCTCACTGTTCTGCCTAGAGAGATCGATCCTGTGGGCAGTATATTGATTTGCTTCTCCTTTGCATCGTGAAATCATAACAAAGCCTGCTAGATCAGCCCAGTTGTGAGACCTTACCTGACTTTCTTGTCAATAAAGGAGAATATAGCCCAGGGTTGAAATATGAGGGGGGGTCCTTGGCGCTCTCTGAGCATGCTTGTTTTCTTGCAGATGTTTTACTACCCAAACTAGGTAACCTCGTCAGTGCTAGTAAAGAATTGTTATTTGCTGTCGGTTTATATTCCGGTGCCTTGCCTGTCTGTGTGGCTGGGGGCGGTCTTAAAGAATCTTTGTTTGGGCTGTTTACTGATGGCTGTGTGGCAGTTTCTTGATTGGGATATTGCCTCCTTGATAGATGGTCTGAAGTTGTAGTTGAAGCCCCCACCCACACAGACAGGGCAAGCCACCAGAATATGAACTGACAGCAAACCGCACTCCTTACTAGCACGGGTGATGCTACCTAGTTTGGGTGAATGAAACATCTACAAGAAAACAAGCAAGCTCAGAGGGCATCAAGGACCCCTGACTCTCTTGCATTAGCTGCCCTTCTTCAGAGCGATTTGCTCCGTTAAGGATGGGAGTTGCATCTGTTGACCCTGGCTAAGGCTGACTTTCCCCGTTCATTTTGCTCTTTCATGGCCTTGATGGAGGGATCTATTACTTACAGCACCTATATGGGTTCCTGACTCAAACCAAGTAATTCAGGATGGCCTGTAAAAAGGTTGGCCACCAAGAGAAGCCAATGTAATACATTGAAAGTCAACCAAAACATAAGACGACAACCGGGTTGAAATATACAGGTAGTCCTCGATTTAACAACAGCTCATTTAAGTGACTTTTTGAACTTAACAGCACTGAAAAAAATTACATACACTGCATGACCATTTTTCACACAACCGTTGCAGCGCCCCATAGTCACGTGATCAATATTCAGATGCTTGGCAACTGATTCATATTTATGACGGTTGCGGTGTCCCAGGGTCACGCAATCTCCTTTTGCCAGCACCTGCCAAGCAAAGTCAGTGGGGAAGCCAGTTTCCCTGAACAGCCGGGTTACTAACTTAACAACTGCAGTGATTCACTCAACAAGCATGGCAAGAAAGGTTGTAAAATGGGGCAAAACTCACTGAACACACATTTCACTTAGAAACAAAAACGTTGGGCTCAATTGGGGTCATAACGTCGAGGACCACTTGTACTGCAACCCAGCAATCGGGACACCATTCGTGCTGAAAGAAAGCCTGGAAATGCCTGGAAGGAAGGGGCAATTATCTACTGGTTTTTAAGACTGGTTTTTCAAGACTGGTTTTTCAAAGATCTGCCAGCTCAGCACCAATCGGGTATTAGAGGACAGATAGTTTCAAATGACAGGGGCTGCCACCAAAAAGTCATTCCTCCAAGGTCCCATGAGGTGGGTATTGCCCCAGTGAGAGGACTGGGCGTGTGCCCTCCCTACTGGGGCAGGTGGGATGGGCAGGTAGTCTAGGGAAGGAGGCAGTCCTGCAAATAACCCTGTCCTATGCCACGCAGGGCCTTAAAAGATGGATATGCAGCACATTGACCTTACCCAAAGGCCTATTGGAAGCCAGTGCATCTCACAGAGATGCCACATGGATATAAGGAGGAACATCCATAAGTAATTATCAAAGCTGCTGGATTCTGGATCAATTCTAACATCTGGGTGGCCTTCAAGGGCAGCCCCATATAAAGTGTGTTGCAAAGATGACAAAGCATGAATGATAGAGCAAGACCCTTCAGCCCAGGAACAGAAGCAATTGGCACACAAGTCAAAATTGTGCAAACCCCTCCCCCACTGCCATCAAATAACTTAATGCTCCGTGAAATCATACTGTGATGATTTTACAATCATGTTGCTAGTTCTACAGCCCTGATGGCGAACCTATGGCACACATGCCAGAGGTGGCACGCAGAGCCCTCTCTATAGGCACACATGCCGTTGCCAGCTATTCTTCTGGTTTCTGGTTCACATGTGCATACTGGCCAGCTGGTCTTCGCAGGTGCCAGAGCACCAGAAAACAGCTTGAAAATGGCCCCCAAAACAACCTGAAAATGGTCCAAAACACCGTCTGAAAATGGTCCCAACCAAAAAACACCAGCCAGCTGGTCTTTTTGTTTCTGGTGCTCTGGCATGCACACATGCACGCGCATTCTGGTTTGGGCACTCGGTGCTGAAAAGTTTTGCCATCATTGTTCTATAGGGATCAGAGAATCCACAAGCAAAGGCAAGAGGGCATTCCATCAAGAATGTGAAAGAGAGACAGACAGAGATACACACAGAGAGAGGAAACCAGTATGAGTCACAGGGTATGAGTGGCAGGTCTAGCACCAGCCTGATGCTGTCCTGACCCAACAAAAACCACTACAGCTAAGCAAGGAGAAGGAAAAACAACACACACACATTGTCCCCATGACTTAACCGCAATGCTGAAAGATTTATTTTATGCATTTGCAAAAGTCTAAAGAATGCTAGAATTGCAGTTGCACAAAATTGCATGCCTATATAGAGGTCTGCTTTCTAATTATCAATTGCAGATACAAAAAACTGAGGACAATGATATTTCATAGCTTATACATGATCGTATATAGTCTATCAGCTGCTGTTGAACTATTAACAATAGGAATTGGTTGTAGCCATTTTTCACTCTTGTTTGGCAGAGTGGAATTCAACAGTTTCTTTTGAAAGAATACAATAAAAGTGCCCATTCTTTTCTCCCTGCCTGGCATCCAGGAACAGCACGTGGCTTAATGCAATGTAAGAATGGGCAATTAGCTAATTTTTCTCCCTGGGGCAAAACTCTGTATAGATTGGCAAACAATTTTCTTTCCAATTAAGGAAGGGAGGAAAAATAGTCATGTATGCACCAATTGCTTTCTCCTATTCGTTTTTAGAATTGCATACATCCTGAATGAATGGATCCAGCAGCAAACAATTTGCTTTTTTTCCTGGAAGTTAGCTTGCATTAGGAAACAAATTAAATATGTTTTTTTAATTTAGCAGCTGTTTTGCTTTATCCCTAACCTAATTCAACCCATTCTGAATTTTTTAAATTAAATATATAAACTGTCACACAATATGCTTCAGTGCCACAGTTATTTTCTCAGTTTATTTAGTAAGTAGATGGTTTTGATATGTGCACACCACTGCGTTTCCAGAAGGTGGTGCTCTGAAACTATGACAGCATGGCAAAAGAAAACTGCAGGTTATCTGATGGGTAAGTCCAAGCAAATGTTTAAGAACGTGTGTTAAGTTTATGCATGTTTTAAGTAATAAATATTCTGCCTCAGTGTGATGCTCCCAACAAAACCTAACAAATATCCTTTATTAATGTGACACAAAAATGAATTAAAATACCAGAAAGCCAATAATAGAGTGGCAGCATCACCTGTTAAACATTTGCATTTCGATTTACCTCAGAACAGAGGTATCCTTGGACTACTTTTTATTCAAACCTTAAACTTTAGAAAGACTGTGAGCACCTGTTCATATTGCACTTAGGGATACACTATCCTTTGTGTGGAGTCAAAATACTTAAAGACATTTTAATGGAATTTTTATTGATGAGAAGGACCCTGAACAAAAGCTTACTCTGTGTGCGTGTGTGTGTAGAGAAGGAAT